TTGTCTGCAAAATCAGAAACCATACTTTTTTTATATCAAATAGTATATATATTTATCATAAAAGTAACATAGTTTAATTTGCCAATTGAAGAATACGAACTGGCCAATGTGTTGAAGGTTTCAATAACGTGTCCTTTGAACAATTTAAGAGGCAAAATAGCTGGTAATGTCCATCCAAAAAAATGCGTTTCCTTTTCACATGTAACACCCTTTTGTTTAATCATTAGTTGTTTTCTCCCAAAAATAAAATTAATAAAAATTACAATGTCCTTTTCATAAAAATTACAGTATATCTCTCGTTTTTCCTCTTTATATTCATATACTTTAAATGCCAAAAGTATCCAAAAATGTGGATGGATCTATCCACCAAGTAGACGAGTTAATCATTGCTTACCAAATTTAACACGCTCCTTTTGCCCCGAATTGGAAATATAACACTACTGGAATATAAAAGTCAACGAAGATTTCTTTTTTCTTGAATATTTTGTGTGTACAGTAACACTTCGCTATAACAACATCCTTATATAACAGTACTTCTTTATATATAAAAGCCAAATTTTTCGGAACCAAATCTCATGTTCTATCATAATATTTTTTTTTTATAACAGCAATTCACTATAACATTCAAAAATATCCGGAACAAATGAGGTTGTTATAAAGAGGTTTGACCGTATATGATTTCGTTTCCGTTCTCTGTCTTTTTCTTTTAAAATTTTGTGTTGATTACATAAAAGACAAATATAAATATTAGCCACTATATCAAGAATGTTAAATATATATATATATATTGTTTTAGAGAAGCGTAGGAGTTCTCGGCCAATTAACTTTCGTTGGACTAATCAGCTGCCAATGGGTACTAAAATTTATTAATGAAAGTGGGCTATAATGTAATATATTAAACTAGAAGGGGAGCTGTATGTAATATTCCTCTCTAGTTGGAGGTAATGTACGTACCTAAATTTAATTAACGATCAAATAACTGATTGTAATTCTCTTTAGATTGTTTAAACTATAATAAAAGTTGAAATGAATCAGATAATTGTGGGTGAGTATTCCATTAATCAGAATGGTAATCATGAAAGTTTCACCAAACAGGATAATTGATTATCAAAAACAACATAAGTTCCATAATTTATCAATCCGCAAAAAAATAAACCAAAACTTTCTCATGCTATTCAATCCATACTAATTAGTATAATATTATTCATAAGGCATATTTGCGTCTAATGTCTTACTATTATTATTGGGGGTAAAGATATGAAAACATGTTTCACATCGTGACACAACCAGTAGTCCCGTATTGTTTTTTTTTTTTTTCAAAAAAAAAAAAAAGTTATCTCTATTACATAAGGGAAAAAGCAGAAATAACTTATAATTTATGGGTTCACGGGCGTGATTTTATTGTGTTTAGATAAATAAACGATGCTTTGATAAATAAGAAGAACAAAAAAAGAACATATAGCCTGTGGAAGATTACTATACATGTCGGCTACTAATTAAATCAAGATTGGAACACTTAGGAGAAAACAAGGTGTTTTTCTTGTTTTTTAGCTCTTGTTCGATACTGTGGAGAATCAATGTTGTGAAACGGGCCGAACAAAATGAGGCACTTGGGCCTGGGAATGATTTACACTGGGATAAAATGATGGAATTTTTTCTTATCTATACCATATATGAAACCTTATTACAAAAAATGTGCATAATTCCTAAATTACTCGTCCAATCCACATTATTTCTACAGTTTTTGTACCAATCATTAAAAGCTAATTAATAGCAGTTGTATCTTCCTATTTATGCGAGCTAAATTTTAGGAGAAGAATATTCTGAACAGATTTGGCGTGAATATTCTGAATAGATTTAGAAGAAGAATATTGAAACGGAAAGGAGATTTCTGTTCTTCATCTTCATCTTCATCTGTTCTTCCATATATTTTCCACCATTGATAGCCATTAAAAAGCTTGAAAGCTTTGAATTCAAATTTGGGTTTTCAAAAATCATTATTTGTTTGGATTGGGTGTTGTTGTAAATAATTCGGAATATATTTAGGAGTTTATATCTCAATTTTGAGGGGTTTTGGTGAAGATTAGACTTGGTTTTGACTGAATTTCAGATTGAAACTCAAAGAAGAAGAAGAAGAAGAAGAAGAAGAAGAAGAAGAAGAAGAAGAAGAAGACATATTTCCAGAAATTGTAGATAAATTGTAGATTGGGAAGACTAAAACTTCTACAAATCTTCTACAATTATGTCGAAAATGCCAATTATGCTACAATTGAAATGGGAATTGGGATATTAAAATTCAATGTATCCATTTTGTAGATATCTTGTAGATAAATTGTAGATTATTTGTATTCTGATTGTAGATGCATTGTTTTCTGTTTTCACAAATCCAAAACGACTAAAGCTTCTACAAAATATTCTGCAAAAAACAGTCTACAATTTATCTACAATTTTTTAATTTTTCTACAATTTATCTACAATTTCTGGAAATATGTCTTCTTCTTCTTCTTCTTCTTCGAGTTTCAATCGACTGTGTTAACCAGTAACCTTCAGCCACTGCCCAAAAAAAAAAAACAAAAAAAAAAAAAAAGAGGTCAATGAAAATAACGATACATTGATGTTTTGTACGTGTAAATAGAGAATTGGTAAATAAGAACTAATCTGAAGATACGGTCGCTAAGTTAAGGTTTTTGGGGAAGTAAATGAGAACTAATCTGAAGATTATTGATGCTACTGTCCATCTCCAAAAGGGGGGGGGGGGGGGTAGTTGGGGGAGAGACGGGTAAAGGTAAATGTGGGAAGATACGGTCCTAAATTAGCGCCTAATATAAATGCACCCTTAATTATATCCCTAATTTGAATTATGGTATATAAATGGTAATTTGGTATGTTGAAATGTAATTAACACAAACCTTAAACATTGAGGGTAATAAGGTGTCATATATGGTATAGGAAGGTAAAAATCCCTAAAAATGATTAAACAACCCAAAACAAGGTTATTGGACTACCATTGGGACCCAGGTTAAAGTACATGTGTCAAAGAGTTACTAGTCTAGAGGAAATATATTTGTTATAATTATCAGATTGTGCAAGGGAGAGGGCATACGAATTATGTAGAAGCTTCGACTCTGTCTGTTCTTCTCATCTCTATCTTTCTAATGTCTGAAACTCCTCATCCCCTTCTGGTTATCCTTTTCTTGTTCCTTTAATTCTTAGTTAATTGTTGTTCATCACTCCATTAGTATTTCCTATTTCCAGGTAACTTCGTTCAGTGATTATAATATATAAGTCTGTTTATTGTTGTGAATTGGGTTGTTACAATCAATCTGAGATTTCACTTTTGGGCTTCTTAGTTATAGTAGTAGATTAAGTACTCGTATTTAATTGGAAATTTTACCTCCTATGGTAAAGGTATACACCTTATTTATTATAAATCAAAATTATTTTAAAACATTATTTTCTATAGCTACTTTTTATATTTTATAACAAAATAAGTATTTATGGTATATACTACCATTGAGGCATGAAATAAGGCATGAAATACGCTATTTATATTTTTCCTCTCTCTTAGACAGGTGGACGTACCTATTTTTAAGATGATCGATGTTACTGTATTTATGAATACAGCAACACGAATACATGTGAATACATGCGCATACAGCTGGACTGCGCTTATTTTAAGCGCATTTTATTGTTGTATTCATGAATACAGCAACACGAATACATGTGAATACATGCGCGTACAGCTGGACTGCCCTGATTTTAGGCACTTTTTGTTGTTGTATTCATGAATACATGGCGCGAATACATGTGCTGGACTACCCGATTTTTAGGCGATTTTTGCTGCTGTATTCATGAGTACAGCAACGCGAATGCAACGAATACACTACCGTAACAACTGAACAGTAGCTATAGGAAGTAATTATGAATATGATAGCTATAGAAAATTAATAACCACTAAACAATAGTGGTTTCTGAAAATTCCTCTATTTAATTTGTACAAATTTTAAACAGATCACAGTTCTAGCTTGTTAATCGGAGTGTACTCAGTGAGGGAGCCACATGCGAGGATTCAACTGAATTACTTTCGTCGAAAAGTTATAAATATAATTTGAATCCCTTGATATAAGATAAATACAAGTTTAATTTTCAAATCTCAAGTGTGATATTTTTGGAATTTTTTGGATCCCCTCGTTAGAATTCTCATTCTGCGACTACGTGTAATGTTTCATGGCTCGTCTTAATATTTCGGGTTTATATTCCTCACATTTCCATTTCCAACGAAGAAGAAAATCGAAAAGAAAAAGGAACAAAAACATGTCTTATTTAATAAACAATTCGGACCCAAAATAAAAGGAATCAATAATTTATATTAGTGTAAGCAATTTTATACCATGAAGTCATAGCAAGTTATTTGTTTTATTTTTAAGATTACGAATCCCATATTTTAAGAAGGTTATCTGTAAATATCATTTTGGTGACCTGATAGTGTTTATACAAACTATGTAAATAAGTTAAACACTATTGTCGGGGAAGGTTTGAGACATGAACCACTACAGGCTATTCAACTACTACCAATAGAATTATCTAACTGTGGCTCAGAAGAATTTCAGATATTATTATTGAATATATGCCATTCCTGATGAAATGATTATGTTGACAGATGCACCCATAAACTATATTCTTCTTTCATCTAATTGATGCTAAAAGGAATTGTTTAAATTTAATAAGGCCATATATTCCTCTCCTTTTGAGAAAATTCTGTATCTTTTTCTCTTTTCATTTTATAGTTTTGAGAAGAAGACTGGTGCGGAGACGAAGAGGATATTTGTATAAGTATAGGAGATTTGTTGTTTTCTAGTAAAAATATATTTGGCCTTGGTCTTGTCAAATAGGCTTATTCATTCCTTATCCATGTCACAGAATAAGTATTAAAATAGTTTTTTTTTTTTGTTGATAAAAGTATTAAAATAGTTGGCATTTACATGTTGACATATTCATAGTCTTATATCATGTGTATGGTGACATTCAGCATATAAAAAAGAAATTCCTGCAGAAATTAAATAGTACTGCATCTTCATTTATATTTGAATCTTCTTCCTTAGTTTCTTGAAGCTGCGTGTGCACAACTAATTGTCTTAAGACATTCATCGATTGATACTAGAAATTATTAAAATTTAAATGCAGTTTGTTTCTTGAAATATCTAAACAGAATCCATCTGTCTTTGGTGTATACTTTTGCTAGAAATTGAAATTTCTTGACTAATTTTTTGGGGGAAATGAGTATCCAGAGGGCTGAACAAACTCATGCATATCACAACAGTGAATTTGCAACTGATTACAATTTAGAATTCCAACAGAATATTGATCAACAGAAATCTTCATCATGCTTGGAATTTTGTTTTCAGCCAGGAACTTCTGCAGAAAATTGCTGCCAACAGATATCTGATTCATCATCAGGAACAATCATAAGCCGAATCGCGTCACCACCTTCAGCTTTTTTTACTACAGAGAGATTAATACAATATGAATACCAAGACAATAGTTGTCAACTGTCCAAGTATAATGATGCTCAATTACCATCATATCCTCAACGCGATTTTCCCAAGATTTCAATGCCAACATTCATCAGATCACAGTTGTCAAACAGTCAACCCCTTGGTCCTGAGGAAGCCTATGGAAATCCTTTCAGCAATCTATCGGAGAAAGAGAGAATAGTGTTTCTTAAGAGTAAGTTGCTTGAAGAATTTGATTCTTCAAACAAGCAACCTTCAATGCCAGTTTTCCATGGAAATCAAGATTATGGTGTAAGTACTTTTAATTGGTCATTCTCTAGTATTGCTTTTTCGAGATTTGAATCACAACACCATTCTGATTCTTGTTATGTTCCAGCAGCTCTCCAATAATTTTTGTGGTTTTAACTTGGTACAATCTGGAAGTCCATCAGCTAATAATGTTAATAACTCTGGAGGATCATTATCGAACAAGACACGAATCAGGTGGACTCAACATCTCCACGATCGATTTGTTGAGTGTGTAAATCGTCTTGGAGGAGCTGACAGTAAGTAACTTCACACATCCCTTACCTTTTCAATTTTTGTTTCCTCGGAGGTTGTAAAAGCCGGGGTGTCACATTTTCGTGCCCCAAGGTTTGAGTGGCTCTGATTGTAACAACCCAGCCCACTAGTGATATTGTCTCCTTTGGGCCTAGGCCCGTGCGGCTTCAAAACACATCATATAAGGCTTGCTTCCTTATATATCCGACATATCTTGCGTTTTGTCGATGTGAGATTTACCAGAAGTGTCACATAGGTGGTCAATTTTGGCTATGGATTAATTGTTCTTCCCTTCATTTTTCAGAGGCAACGCCAAAGGCAATAGTAAAGCTGATGGATTCAGAAGGCTTAACCATTTTTCATGTAAAAAGCCATCTGCAGGTACTTGAGATATGAAATACTAGTAAATACTTTCTTGGAACACCTTTTGGTATTTTGACAAAATTTTAAAGCAAATATTGTTTTGACTATTCCATTGTAGAAATATCGAAGTGCAAAGTACATCCCTGAATCAGCAGAAGGTATGTATTTTCCAAAATAAGTTTCATGTTTATTAAGAAGAAACATTGTTTCTCCAAGAACACTATGCTTAATTAAAAATTTGCTGATGTTTAGAACCTCCCGTACTGGTAATCAAGGATCATAGTTAAAGTAGAATTAGCAAAAAAGGGCAGCCCGGTGCACTAAACTCCCGCTATGCGTGGGGTCCGGGGAAAGGCCGGACCACAAGGGCCTATCGAACACAGTCTTACCCTGCATTTCTGCAAGAGGTTGTTAAATTAGAAGAATTAGCAACCGAACTGTTAAATTACTAAAAAGGGGAAAGCAAATAAGTTTTTGTATCCTCGTTTCTTTAACAGAAAGGAAATGAACTGCTATGTACCCAATAGACACAAATTTGAAAGAAAAAGATGTTACTAATATAATGCAGTAGCAATAAGTTTCATAAGTGGTCATTTATGAAATCTTCTAAAACTCTTCTCTTCCTTTTCATTTTTTGGTCATTTATGCAATAAGTGAATCCAACATGATGGAAAACAGACTGTTTCCCTTACACATTTATGTTAATTTTACCTTTGCTGGTGAAAATTGCTATTTTGCCATAGACATGCTAAATACTTAGTTTCAAAGTATCCAGCTCTTTTCAGAAATCAGAGTTTCCTCCTTTCTATAATGCAGGGAAATCTGAAAAGATGGATAGCCCGAATAATGTGACACAGATCAACAGCAAAACGTATGTCCGAGGCAACTTTCCTAACCAATATTCATGATTATTTTAGCTGGACAATGAACTTAATCCAGATTTCTTTTTCAGCGGGATGCAAATCAAGGAAGCACTGAATATTCAGCTAGAAGTCCAGAGGCGTCTTCACGAGCAACTAGAGGTATATTTAATTAGTACATCCAAGGATATAAATTTATCCACTTTTAGCGAGCTGAAATTATGTACGTACCATTTTGAATTATGTTTCTGAATCCTAATTGTTACTAGATTCAGCACAAGTTACAAATGAGGATTGAAGAACAAGGAGAGCAATTGAAGAAGATGTTTGATCAACAACAAAAGACAAGCAGGAGCCTATTGGAGACACGAAATTCAAGCATTACATCTCCTGTTGATTCATTCAACCCACATGAAGAGGAAGATGAAGTTCACGTTGCAGACAGCTTCGAATTCTCATCTAAAATAAGTTACAATGACATGGCAACTGCATCAATTTGATGTTACCATTTATCATGGAAGCATATGCATTAGTAGTCATGACTTTAATTTCTACCACTTGAGAGTTATTCGCCTCCAAAACAAATTTCTACCACGGGAGTTCCAGTATAATATATCGGACTTCTAGCATAATATACTGGAATTCTTTCAGTATAATATACCGGTCCAGCATAATATGTTGGAAGTTCATATACGCAGGTGCTCCGCTATCTCTATTATATTATGCTGGAACTTTTCGTGTTGCAGCAAAATATTGGTTATTCTTTAATAACTATGAAAACGCTGGCTATTTTTCAATAGCCAGTCCGAAAACTAGCTAGCCCGTGCTATTTTTACACACCATCTCTGTTTCGTTTGGATAATTTATTTGGACTGGGCTTGAGCCAATTTGTGAGTAGGCCCATGTTTAACCAACATAACATGTTAGAAGCGGCGCAGACAGCCCAACAACAAAGAGAGGGCTTTTCAGTCATTTCAATTTCAGATTTACTACTCAATTGGACTCTCGGGATTCAAAGTACGCAAGGAATATTTACTGCTAATCAGTTTAACCTTCACATAAAGTCGTTGCTTCTCATTCATTAGTGAAACGACAAACCTACGTTTTCTGATTTCTTTAATTTTTCAAAATTTTTTATTACTCGATAGTAGTGACTAGCGTTTTAAAAAGCACGGGCGAGAGGCGAAACATTTTATCTAACACAGGGCGAAGCGAAAGTCTCGAGGCGCGGAGCATAAGCGCCATGAGTATTTAATTTTTAATATTTTATAAATTAATAAAATAAATATATTAATAAAAATGCATTAAAATATTAAAGCAAATAAAAAATATACTAGATTAGTAGGAAAATATAAATATCTATTATAAATATGCTAATATATGCATGAACCATAGAAAAACAAAATTTACTTGTAAAAGTGAAAGACGTAAAGATGAATTACACGTATAATTAATATGATTATGATAGAACAAACTCAGATTTATAAAAATGGTATTCTAGTTTATGGCAATTCAAAAAATAAAAAATATAAATTCAATATAAAATTATTGTTTAAAAATCTAAAAGTAGATAACAAATCAAAAGTACAATGGAAGCAAAGTAATATAAGAATCTAGGGACAAACTACTTTTCTTTTAGTTTACCCTTTGCAGACAAAGGTTTAAAGTGTATAAGTTATTCCGTAGTAAATGACAAAAAGTAAAGATTATGAAATTTTGATAAATTAACAGTTAAAAAAACCCTTTGGCTTTTGAGATTTTAAATTGAAAATTTATTATGAGTTAAAATTTTGATATTTAAGTTAGACAAAAAAGAAAAGATTTATTAAGAAAATTTGGCTCAAATTTGAAAAGTTCTCGGGGCTTAAGCTTCAAATAAACGCCCAAAGCGTTGGAGCTTATGCCAAGGGGAACATCCGGAATGTCTAGGCTTACGCCCCACGATACTTGTGCCTTTGTCCATTTTTTTGTATGTTTCGCCCCAGAGTTTATCCTGAACTCGTCCAAAAAAAACCTTTTAAAGCACGGGTGACTATTACAAGAACTAGTCAAATGTGAGTGGATACCAGCCGTCTGCTCCATCTTTACACAAAAATTCATGCGTTTTGGAGAAAAACATAGGTCAATTATAAATTAGAAGTTACATTTCATGTACTAATAATATATTAAAAAAATTAAATTATCAAATTAAGTTGATTCATAAAATAAATAAGTTTTTATATGAAGTTTGATATGATAATTTGAATATTTTGTGTAATTCATGACACTACGATTGACCGATTAATCATTTAGTATCCAATATGGTTTACCACATAACATGTGTTCTCATTTTCCAAAAAAAAAGAATTTAAAAATAGTTTGAGTTTTGGTTTGTTGAACATGCTTGCATGCCATTTTTAATATACACAAGGCTTTATGTGTTGAATATATTATGAAGCATCTAATTAATTATTAATCTTAGTTTAACTCAAGTAAGTTTACCACTTCTCAAACATTAATTAAAGCCACGAACCCTCGGGGGTTGGCCTGGTGGCAATTGACTTGAGCCTTGGGGTTTGCTCCCTTTCAAGGTCTTAAGTTCGAAACTCATTGGGTGCAAACAATTTCTGAGGGCCATCCAACTGGGTAAAACCTGAATTAACCGTGGTGCACTTGCGGGAAACTCCTTGCCGAGGGCCTGTGCACCCCCGGGATTAGTCGGGTCTCTAAGAGACTCGGACACCCGGTGCAAATCAAAAAAAAAAATTAAAGTCACGAGGTTTTCCTAAACTACACCTATTAATTGATTCAGTCTTTTCTCTTTCTTAAATATTCCTGTCCATTTATTTTCCCGGTGACCACCTGTTCCCTTGCTCGTTTTTTACCATCAAATTCATTACTTTATGAGCAATTTACCTTAATTCCCCAAACGCCGTTGCATATTACTCTTTCTTTCCAATTTTTATGATGTACATTCTTTTTAATATGTTCGAAAAAATGATACGGTTTTATAAAAAAATAAAACAAATATTTTTTATATGTAAAAATAATTTAATTTTAAATTTTAATATATATATATTAAGCTTTAAAAGTATTTTTTTCTTAAATTTCATGCTCAATCAAATTGCATCACACTTGTTTTAAAATATAAGTTTCAAAAAATCTTGATTCTTTCTCAACTTGTGTATCTAACCTCATCACACTTGTTTTAAAATATTCAAAAGCTTTTTTTTTCTTCTTAACTTCAGTCACATGAAATGAGACTCCGTGCTAAAAATATTGTTTTAATATTTTTGTACTATTGTCCCATGTTTGTTGGGCAAAAAAGCAATGTACAAAATTAATTCGAAACTAATTATATTTGCTAACCAAAAATTATATAAAATAACAACAATAATAATAACATCAAAAAAAAATTGTGTATAATATAATATATGTTATATCCAAAAAATATATATTTTATCAGCATTTTACTCTTATAAATGGCTAAAAATATACATTTCTCATTTTTTATTTCTTCTCTTAACTTCGGTAGTCGTATTTGGCGTTTGCCTCTCTGCCTCAACTTATTACCACTGCTCTCTGAACCTCTAATGGCAAAGATTCTTCTCTTCATAACTCTACTTACATATTAAACTTTTCACTACTTATTATTATTTTCTGATCTGAGTTTCCAATATTTTCTATCAGATAATTTTTTTTCTTTCTTATTGACAAAATAATCTTTAGGTTCAGAAGGACCACTTTCTGAATATATTGGGCTTTTATTATATCGGTTTGATAAAATCTTAAGGGATGCGTTTTTGGTTAAGGATGAAAATGGTGGCTGTTTCCTGAAATATCATCTACATTTGGTATGTTTCTATTCCCATAGCATTAAAACAAATACTAGCTTTATAGTATATTTTTTGTGGGTTAATCCAAAGATTCAATCTTTTTATGATTTAGTATCTATTTAATTTGTTTCAACTTAAATATTTGTAGTATTGATTTGTTTTCCTTTTAATGAATATGGCTTCAAACATGTTATGGTTTGGTTGTTTACTGAATGTCTGATATGGTGAAGTTTTCTGTTTTGAGTTTGTTTATGTAATGATTTTATTTATTTAATTTTTTTTCCTGGATTGGAGTCCTTTTTTTCAATCGCTAGTGGTTTTATTTGTTTGAGTTAATGTAGTTGAATAATTTATGAAGGGTTCTTGTTTGAAATGGTTCTCAGTTTTACTTGTCCTGTTTTCACTTTAAGGCTGAGTGTGAAGACAGTTTTGTTTGTTTGTAACAAATAGTATATCATTTTTCATATTTGTTTGTATGTGATTTCGGTTTCAGTTTGAGTTTTGAGGATAGGATACTGTAGAAGATAATGTTGTTATCTTTATTGTTCATGTTGGTGAATTTATTTGAACCGGGATCCTCTTCACCAGAACTTGTTTAATGAGCTCAAATACATCCTCACCATATGTTTGGAACTGTAAATTTGTGTTGGTTCTCTTTAATCCTCTGATATTCGTTTCGTTTTATTCATAGGACATTTCAGTTTTTACTGTGATTCTTGATACTAGGACATTTCACCAGCAAAGTTTCTTTATTTGGACAATGGGTAGAGGAAGAGGAAAGACAAAGAAGCAATCTGTTCGTGAGGATCTTGTGAGTGGTGAAGAAGAGAAGATGCCGGTGAGGAGAAGGGGAAGACCACAGAAGCCGAAGAGTGAAATAGAGGAAGAAGAGGAAGAAGTTGAGAAGATAGTGGGGGATGGAGATGATAGTGAGAAAACAAAAGGTTCCGTCTTGAATAAAGATAGCAAGAACCAAGTAGCCGAGGATGGAAAGAAGAGGAAGAGACCTTCACAAGTCATGGAAAATAAGGATTCAGTAAAGGAGGAAAATGGAGTTGGAACTAAAACTAACTCTAATGACTTAATAAAGTCGGTTGGATTCAGACAAATTGGGAGCAGAAGGAAAAACAAGCCTAGACGAGCTGCTGAAGTTGGTGTTGAGTGCAGATGAAACGGTTCTCTTTGTGTTTGTGAACTGACTTTATGATTATTTACATGTGCTTATCTATTTTAGTCCAGTTATAACTTCTTCTTTTTGGATTAAATTTTGTGCAAACGGAATTTTGTGAAGATTTATGCAGCATGTTTTAGCTTTGCTGAATGTATTGCTGCCAAATCTCTTTGCGAATTCTCCCATTTTACATGTCTCATCAATATTGAGAATGATGTTTCTCCTTTACTGTAATTTTTTCTACTTCCAGTTTGAAATGTATGGTGCCCTTGTTTGACTTAGAAGTTCTTTATCTGTTATTTGAACGCAAATACCTAACAAGAATGAGGAAGCCTCGTGGTGGATAACTGAGAAAGAAGTCCTGCAGCATGACTGAGCTGGAAGAAGGCCATGTTTTGGTGTGCAGAATCGAAGGTACAGCTTGTTGGAAGTTGAGTATCACAATACCTTTTGCTTTTCTCATTGATATTTAATCCATCGACATTGTCTTATGTGAAAACTGGAAGCTGTTTTACCTTTTACAATTGTGATTACCATCTTGTCAATCTCTATGATACTATGGTTTTGCTTCATGCAATCTTTATGCACTTTCTATTGCCTGTTATACGTAATGTCAAACAACAGTTCCTCCACCAGTGAAATCAAGCTTCTGTTTGTAAGATATGATTTCACGAGGATCTAATTTCTCGTTTACATACCTTACGTCAAAGCTATTGTGCTGAAGCACTTCAACTTGTGGGATCAGGGTTCAGCTTGAAATATGCAAAACTTAAATCTGTTGAGGAACAAATATTCCTTGGACAACTGATATTCTGTTGATCCCTAGCTAGTCTTCTGACCGTTGTTGGATATGGCTCAGCCAAAAATATAAATTTGGTCCGTCTCAAATCCAAACATAGCATAGATTGGCTCCACAGCGTTTTATCTACTTTGTATTTGTTCTCCTGTTTCTGATGCTTGCACCAGAAATGACGTGAAGTGGTTGCTACTTTACTTGAAAACTAAGATGTAAAGGGTAAGTAATTTGAGGGTGAAACGTCTAGAGAATGTTTCTTGGGCTGAATTTTATCCAAATGTATTAGTTTCTTCCTTTTCTGACCCTTGCATCCATTATGCCGTGAAGTGGTTATTCTTTTACTTAAAAACTAAGATGACACTCTCATCTTTATTTGTTTATTTTTGTGAATTTGTATTAGTGGAAGAAAGTAAATTAATGGCGAAACCTCTAGAAATTGCTTCTTGAGCTGAATTTCAATGCAAGGGTCACAGTCACAGACGATGTGAAGTTGGTTGCAACTTACATGAAAACTAAGATGACACTTTTAGTGATTTTGTATGAGCGGAAGAGAGCAATGTAAGGGAGGAACCTCTAGAAAATGCTTCTATGAACTGAATCTTACTGCTATGAGTTGTCCTAGTTTGACGGTTAGTTGTGGTTTATTGATTATCTGCTGTAAGCTACTTAAGCTGAGAAATACTAGGATTCTCGCGCAGTTTAGCTTGTTTGTGTACCTCAATTTACTAATTGGACGAAAGAAAGGGTTTGCGAGATGGTTGTGATGTTCTTATAGCTGTGCTCTTCATTCGAAAGAGATAAGAGTTGCATGATCAAGGACTTGGAGTAAGTAGAGTTTTATAGGAAATCAACTTTCACTATTGTTTACTTTATAGTATAATTTACCATCTCATGATGCTGTTGGAAGATGTTAATTCAAGTGGGGATCAAGTAGTCATCTCATTAGTCCGTTGTCATGTGACCGGGAGGTCATGGGTTCGAGCCATGGAAACAGTTGCAGAAATGCAGGGTAAGGCTGCGTATAACAGACCCTTGTGGTCCGACCCTTCCCTGGACCCCGTGCATAGCGGGAGCTTAGTGCACCGGGCTGCCCTTCAGTACTCTTTGTTATCTGAAGCCTGTATCAAAATTCAAAAATTTAAGGTAAGGGACCATGACTGTCCATATTCAATTTTAGAAAGTCAAAATTCACTCAGAAAAACATTGGACGAAGGGATGATTTTATATAGCTTTTGAATCTAGAAACACTTTGCTTCTCATATATGTTATCTTAATCAAGGGCAGGTAGATTGTTAATTTGTTATATATCTCTTGAATTACATTGATCCTCTTTTTATGTGGAGATGTAACTGCTTGTTTCAGTTTGCTATTCCTGTTAGATTTCTGAAACTTGATGAATTGATTTCCTTTTTAATTTTACTAATCATCTAAAAATCTGTTATTTCTAGCCTTAAAACTCTATGGATAATGGAAGAGGAGATAGAAAATGAAAATGAAAAAAAAAAAATTGAAGTCCATTGATTAATTTAGACACTTGTCATTAACTTCTCCTTATGAAGGATTAATATGGATTGTTGATTTCTGTATTTGGTCCTTTCATTGGCTTTTTCCCCTTAATTCTTCATAAGGAGAAGTTAATGACAAGTGTATCATTTCTAAAATTCATTTTGGAACTTTCAGATTCCCTCATAAATAGTTTATCATGCGATATAAGTTCACATACCATAGCCAATGTGATATTCATAATATGTAAGAAACAAGTATTAAGAAATAATTATTCGTAATGCAAACCGGTTTTCTAACAGCAATCATGACGTAATTTTTTCCAACTTGACTTCACATACTTTTTCAGTCTCCTTATAGTTGGGAATTTCTTCAATTTAAATGTAATGACAGTTACATTCTTGGATAAATCCGTCTATTTAGTTCAGATATCTCACTGTCAAACCTATGTGTGTTATGTGGTGCACCTGTTTCCTGATAAGAAGAAAAAGAGAAAAGTTAAAACACCAAAAAAGTTCTCATATTAAGCTCCCATTTCGTCATGGATTTTGGCAATTTATTTTTCCATTTTTTTTTTAAAACATTGTTTGTTCATGGAATAAGTTTATAAAAAAAAAATATTCAAGTTCCTAAAATATGGTTTAGGATAATTTTTGGGTAAATTTTTTTCTCTCACTTAATTTTTTTTATCTTTTTTCAAAAATTATTTCTCAGCGCAACTTTTAATTTTTTTTTTAAGTTTCAACCAAATCTATTTTCAAAAGCTAGCTAAGAGTTGGGAATAGTATCGCGAAGCAATGACTGAGGTTATTCTACCCTTAACTAGATATTGCTGTTTTGCATCAAAGTAAAAAATATTTTTTTTAATAATGAGCACTTTACCATCTTCAGTAGGTCTGTCCGATGGACACAAATATAGAGATCACTGTTTCAAATTCTGAAAAGAAAAAGCATTGAAAATCAGATATTGAATGGTTAAAGAAATTGAAAATCATGTTCAACCATATTACTCCATCCGTTCACTTTTATTTGACATATATATTAAAAATAGATTTTCATTTTTATTTGTCACTTTAAACATATCAAGAGAAGACAAAAAAAAAAATTCTGTTATACCCATAGTATTTATTACTCATTTTAAATTATTGTTAAATTCAATAAAATATGCATCAATTATTATGGGTATTATAGTAATTATAAATTTTATTTATTATTTTTTCAAAAGACGTGAAAAGTTAAAACGAGTAGTATCGAAAAGAGCATTAATGCGCAAGCGATGACGTGTGCTTGGGAGGCATGCACAGACGGAGACGATTTTCAGCATCAATTTCCCAGAGAAAGCGCTTTAAACTATGAAATCAGTCCACAGGCAGTACCAGTTATGGATGTTTTACTCCATAAACACATGCTTTTTTCCAGCATTCAGTCTCACCTTTTGAGGTTTATGAATTTGTTGTTTTCTTTTTCTTTTATGCCTTGTAATTTTGTGAACTTATAAACTTATTCCCTTTCAGAGTCAGATCCAGTATTTGAGGCTTATGGGTTCCTACCGTAATTTTAGATTAATACTCCCCCGGTTCATAATAAGTGTCCAATTTGCTTTTAGCACGTCCATTAAGAAAATACTAAATTCTATACAAAAATACATACTATGACTAAACTATCCCTAATTAAACATTTAATGTGAGGAGTAAGAAAACATTTTAGGGATATGTACATAGGGGTTAATTTGTAAAAATAAATTGAATTCTTTTTTGATTACATAACTGGACACTTATTTTGAACCAAAATGAAAAAGTAAATTGGACACTTATTGTGAACCGGAGGGAGTATACAATAATAACTGGGTTCACAGTTAGATATTTGCAAATATTTAGTGAATTTCTTAATACAAATACAGGGTCTACGCAAAAGTTACTGGATTCCCGAAAACCCGTATTCTATGCTCTAGGTCCGCCCCTGTTCCCTTCCTTTTCTTTTCTTTTTCTTTTCTCTTTTGCTACAGCTAAAAGGAAAAGTACAACAACTTACCAAAACTGAGTTTAACGCAAAGAATAATATATGATTTGTTAGCTTGGTTGAAGTAAATTAATTAAACCTAGGTTCAGTACGTACATGCAGTAAAAAAACACAGACATTTGAAACTCATTCTAGATGCAAGTAGTTTTGGGGAGAGAATTGTTTGAGTTATGTATGAAACAAGCTAAGTGCCAGCTGCAACAACGTTCACATCAAGTCAATAGATGGAATAATAAATCAAAGAAAACAAAAGGGCCCCTACTTAAATTTCTATATAAAAGAATTGGAGCGTTTGATCAGAACATTAAGGCAATATGCAATACTATAAATACATGCTCATACATTCATATACGTACCTGAATGATAAATTATGTACAAAATCTGTTGTCGAACAATTGCCTTAGTTTTTATCTTGATTAAAAGAACATGATTCATTTATTGTTATGCGAGAAAAATATCTTTATTGATCAACACCTTTTCAAATTTTATATAGTTTTTCTAGTCTGAGAATTAGTCTAAGATAATATTTTCTCATGCTGTCTTTGAAATATATTTTTTCTAATCCTGATGTATAATATAATAAATGGGAGCCTTGAAGCAACGGTAAAATTGTCTCCATGTAACCTATAGGTTACGGGTTTGAGCCGTGGAATCAGCCATTGTCCGCCTAGTTTCAAATCATGCGCGGTTAGTACTCTAGATCTTTTTGGTCTAACATATAAAATTTTACAGTTTTTCATTTACTTGCACAAATAATTCTTTCTGAAAGTATAATTTTTATCAACTCTATATATATAGTAACTGTATTTTTGTATGATTGCATTTGTATTATATACATATACGAATCAGGGAAGGATGAAGAAGAAGCAAAGATTAGAAATTTTTTTGTGGTTATAAATAATATGGGAGTTGGGAGATAGTGACCCCAACAGTTGTAAAGCCTCTCCAAAAAGTACTCAAAAGAAAGGCAAAGAGGTCTTCTCTTTTCTCACCTTCATTATGGGGTTCCCAAGCTGGCATCATGGCCCATTGTCAGCTCTCTACTTTTTCACAATCCCCTAAACCAACAAAAAAATAGTATTTCACCACCTCCCTCTTCATTTCACCTCTATATACTCGAATGCACAAAATTTAACATTACCCTTGTCGAGATAATCCCTTCGCTTACTCTCCCCGCTATGCAATAAGTGATCTATTTATTTTTTTAAAAATTTTGGTCCAAAATAAGTGTCCATTTTTATAATAAAAAAAAATTTAATTTGTTTTTTTAAAATTACCCTCGTGTACGTATCCTTAGACAAGGATGTCACGCACCGTATAGGAGTGGGGTGGATGAAATGGAGGTTAGCATCTGGAGTCTTGTGTAACAACAAAGTGCCACCGAAACTCAAAGGCAAGTTTTATAGAGCGGTGGTTAGACCGACCATGTTGTATGAGGCTGAATGTTGGGCAGCCAAGAGTTCTCATACTCAGGAGATGAAAATGACAAAAATGAGGATGTTGAGATGCATGTGCGTGCACTCTAGGCTGGAAAAGATTAGGAATGTAGATATTCGAGAGAAGATGGGCGTGACTCCCATCGACGACAAGATGCGGGAAGCGAGACTTAGATGGTTCGGGCACGTGCTGAGGAGAAGCATAGATGCCCCGGTTAGGAGGTGCGAGCGGTTAGCATTGGCAGGTACGAGGAGAGGTAGAGGACGACGTAAGAAGTATTGGGGTGAGATGATCAGGAAGGATATGACGCGACTACAGATTTCCAAGGACTTGGCTCTGGATAGGAAGGAGTGGAGGTCGAGCATTAGAGTCGTAGGTTAGGAGGGAGGCGAGAGGTTGTTTTCTTTTTCTTTGTTTTTCTGGGGACGGGGCTGGCCTGTTGATGTTTCGATGTGGTTTGTTAGTGGTTTATGTAGTTTCCTCACTATTTCCTATGGTAGTATGTTATTTATAGTTATTGCTTTTATATTTATTTTTTTATTTCTTACGATGTTGTTACAATTTTTTTTTTATCTTTTATTGGTGTCACTGATCTATTGTTTATTTTTCTTCTTCTCGAGTCGAGGGTCTTTCGAAAACAGCCTCTCTATCCCTCCAGAGTAGGGGTAAGGTCTGCGTACACTCTACCCTCCCAGATTCCACTTGTGAGATTTTACTAAATGATTGGTGTTGTTGTAAGACATGTGAAACTTATAGTTCTAAACTGTACTTGTGACTGTAAAAGTTCCTTAACAATAAAATAAGAAATTTAAATTACATTTTGTATCATTCTTTTTGAATAGATTAATAGGAAAATAAACTTAAACGGAGAAGGAAGTACTTTTTTATCACAATTTATTGGACTCTTTTCTTTATTGTCCAAAAAAAAACCAAATTTATATTTAAAAATAGTTTAACCTTTTAAACATCTTATTTTATCTTTAAAGAACAAAATTATAACCACAAAATGTTTATATCTTATTCTAAATCATAAATTTCAAAGTCTGTTTTTTCTTTTTAACTTGGAATCCAGTCAAACAACCTCTGTATTTTATGCAACGGAGGGAATAAAGAAAGACTAGTAGGAGTGATAAAACAAGAAAAAGTGCAAAAGAAAAGGTGACCTTTTTCAAAATATCTGTTTTTCTAATAGAGTCCCTTTGGATATAAAGAATTTTTTTACTTTTTTAAGAAATTAATGTTTAGCCATAAAATTTTCAATCTTCACGTGAAAGATTTTAAAAATTTGAAAAACTACAAAAGGCTATTTTCCAAAATTTTCACTCAGATAACTGGCAAAACTTCAAAAACAATCTAAAATTATATTTATGTCCAAACACAACTCTAATTTTCAAATAACATTTTCACTTTTTTCTTTTTTCTTTTTTTTTAATTTACCATTCTTATGTCCCAACGCCCATTAAGTATATGTATAAAAATGTACATGACACTATGGCCCTGTTCATGTGAATGCCACCTTTTATAATGATTTGACCCCATAAAGCTGTGGAATGAATGGGCAGTGGAATTCGGTAATGGAACTGGGTTCAGTTTCTTCTTCTGGTAGTAATTCAAGCTCCGCCGACTCTCTCAATGGTTTGAAGTTTGGCAAGAAAATCTACTTTGAAAATGTGGGTGGTGGGTCATCGCCGGTGACCGGAGCCGGGAACTTGCCGCCGGCGTCCAAGAGGGGGAGGGGTGGGTTGGTGCAAGGTGGTCAGCCACCTAGGTGTCAAGTTGAAGGTTGCCAGGTAGATCTGAGTGATGCTAAGGCTTATTATTCGAGGCATAAAGTTTGTGGTGTGCACTCTAAATCTCCTACTGTTATTGTTGCTGGTCTTGAACAGAGGTTTTGTCAACAATGTAGCAGGTCAGCTTAATTTTCCATATTACTCTAATTACTGTTATGCTCTATTTATATGGCTGTGTCGATAGGCGGATACAAAACATGCACAACAGGTGTTTGAAACTCACTTTTTATACAAGAGTTTAACTTATGGACTAGTGGTCCTTGTATGTACAGTTGTTTATATACTGGTTTGGTGGAGAGAGTTGACTATTGTGGATTTGTTAAATTATTGTGTTAATTGTTTGCTTGAATAATTGTTAAATTGTTACTGGTGTCTTTCTTTATTTCCTAAGTTGAATAACATTTTGAAACTCATGTTGATATCCTGTGCTTGAATATGACAATGGATTTTGCGAGTCTTGTATTAACAGCTTCTTGCTTTACTTATAGTGTTTTTCGAGTTTAATTTTTAGGCGTTCTTGGCGCTCTTCTGCTTCTTTTGTCATAGAAAGGCAGTTCCTTAAGTTATGTGTGCTTGTTTTCTTATATGGCTGGACCAATTCACGCTGCTAAGTGAGTTTTAGAGGGGGCTTTCTTCATAATGAGCACTAAGTTGGCGTTTTATGTGGAGTAATAAGACAATTAAGATTAATTAGAAATGCGCCTACAACTCCTGTATGTACGAATTTCTGAAGATCTAGATGTAGAGATGGTTATTTAAGAGCATTTTAAACTACTTTCTTGAATAGGTAGGGATTTGGATTTGTGCTTTCATTGAGAGGCAACCTGCATTCTTTGCACATCTACAAGAGAGAATCAACTGTGGATGCTCTGATATAACTCAGTGGTTTGAAGGTGTGTACTAATCAAAGAAATGACACTCATGGAACAAATTTTAAAATTCATTTTGGTTAATGAAATGTGGAGCTTTTGTTCGCAAATATGAACATCAGTGATTTAGGACCAGCTTCATGCTGAAACAATTGTTGTTAGAAGTGATAAAGTATTGAACAGGTACGAATTTGGAGAATGCGGAAAAAGATCTATATAGGTGATACATATTTAGTTGAGAAAATCTTCTAGATATTAGCACTTTTATTGTTGGTCTTACGCTTTCTAGGAGTGGTTTACGTTTAGAAAATATACATAACTTCTAATACTTTTTATTTGTATTTGCTTAATATTGACATGAGAAGAGTTTAATTGGAGTAATGTGGTCAGTGAGGATTCGTATAGCTGACCCAACTTGTTGGGGACTGAGGCATAATTGTTGTTATTGTATGGTTTTGATTAAAAAGCATGTTCTTTGTGGCCAATATTTTTGCATAAGCAACATATTTGACTGGTCTATCATCTATGACTCATATGGACATATCCAAGTCCGGAATGGTAAAAGTTTCTGCTGAACACTCTTAAACTTTGTCTCTGAAAAATTAGTATTAACTTTTTATTTGTGTTGTTTTGTCCATTCTGCTAATGTCATTCTATCACCGTGAAGAAATTAACTTAATATATTGGTATTCTGCATCATAAGCTTCCCCTCATGATTTACAAGATTGACGGTCATATGCATTACAATCAGAACATGCATATTAGCACCACTCTTGGCAGGCTAAAGCTAATTGGATATAGAGACAAGCAATTTATATTGGATATAGAGACAAGCAATTTATTAGTTTACTCCATGGTATTAACAGTACTCTGTAATTTACCTTGATTTGCTTGGTTGTATTCTCTTAGCATCAGAAAAATGCACTGGTACAGTGCCTTGCTGGTCTGAACTAAGTGTATGTAACTACGGTATAAGCAGTCTAAAAATCTGAAGAGGAAAAAGAAATCCTTTGTGCCACGAGTAGTACCATTCAAAGGGTCCTACTTGCATTGGGAGAAATGATGTGATCTTGAAGCAAGATAGTTTGCTTTTTCTTCTTTGTTTTGTCTTTTTATTTGGGTGAATGACACTGGCTTTTATGGATCTAATTTTCCACCATTTATACAGAAATATTGATAGTCATTCTCACAATCCATATGATCCTACTGAATTGATCTTTGCTAGAAGTTAAAGGGTAGCATTTTTTCTGAAACAGCTTTGCTCTTTATATTAGTTGCTGTTTTGTCATGCCTACTAGCTTTTCAGATAAAACTTCAATTCGGTTAGTTATTGACGCGTATGATGATCCATCTCACAATATTTGCAAATAATCATTAAGCATCAATGTATTTCTTGTTTTGCACATCTGCAAAGTGTTGGAATCTAATGGTGATGGCCTTCCCAAAATTATAATATCTTCCCTGCAATATCCCCCAGCCTTTGTTGTAGTCTTGTGGAATGATTATGGCTTTTTTCATGTCACCAAGCCATGTTTCCACTCTGATATATTCGCCATAAATGTTGTAGTTCTGGTAAACTCTATAAAGATGTGACTGTATTTTCCTTCCCCATCTCCTATAGAGGTTTTCCGTATATCCTTGAAGCTTTTTGTAAAGTTTCGCAGACCCAAGTTTTCTTCTTCGATCTTGATATGGCTGGAGAATCTTCTGCCCGGCTCAATGAACTTGAACCACCTATCAGAGTCCTCGCTGATGTTAATTAATTCAAATGATTTATCCCCTGAAACGAAATGTAATTTCTCCCCCATAATAAAATAAAGTATACGGTGGCTGAATGATTATTTTCAAAACTGGCGTGCTGGATATCATTATTGGGGGGGGGGGGGGGGAGCACATTTCCCCAGTCAAAGAGAAAAGTTGAAGAGATCATTTTTGAGATTTCTAGCCTTATGACTCCAAAAAGAACCTCCATTTATACGGTGGCTGAATGATTATTTTCAAAACTGGTGCGCTGGATATCATTATGGTGTGTTATAACTACCTAAGTACTCATTTGCAATTGGCAATGTTTCAAACCAAAATCTGCAGTCCCTACTACTGGCATCTCTCCCGATATTTATTGGGAGATATTTAATTTAAAGAGATATTAGTCATAAAGTTTCCAAGCATGCACTTCTTTTTATCTTGAAAGCTTAGTAGTTAATAAATCCATCAACTCATATACGAGCCAAACTTTGGTCTTGATGAAGAAGGAAATCTAATGTGTGAAACTTTGGGGAAGTTTTGATAAGAATGTGCATTGCACAATGATTAGTAGTTACTCAAACATAACTAGAATGCCTCTGTTATTTATGTGCGTCTTGTATAAATATGTGTATATAGTTCAATTTTTCGTCGAGTACTCAAAGACGCCATGTATTTTTTGTTTTTGTTCTTGCCTGTGACGAAACATATCAAATGTATTGGTTAGAATAATGGCTAGCCAAAGCTAGCTCATCTTCTCAGTTCACTTATTGCCCAGTCAATGTCTGCCTTATTGCATGGACTTAATAGTTTCTTGGTACTTTGGTTCCAGGTTCCATCAATTGCCAGAATTTGACCAAGGAAAAAGAAGTTGCCGCAGGCGCCTGGCATGCCATAATGAGCGCCGCAGGAAGCCTCCATCTGGATCTCTTTTCTCTACACATTACGGGAGCCTTTCTTCATCAATTTTTGGTTTGATAGAATTCCTTTCCGTTCTCTCTTTGTTTGCATGTATACTCGAAAATTTATGCTCTTCTCTTTTCCTTTTATAAAAGGGAAAGAACATTATGCTGACTCTGGTTATTTTGATTTGAACTGATAGAAAATAATAGCAGCAGATCTGGAAGCTTTCTGTTAGACTTCAGCTCACACCCACATGTCAACGAGAGTTCGTGGCCAAATACTAGAGCATCTGAACAAGGATGGGATCATCAATCTACTGCATCAGGGAAGTTTCTTCAGCGTCCTTGGCTGAATAATTCTGAAACCGCTACATCTGAGTTAGTTCTGCAAGGTTCAGCCACCAGGACCAATTATGTTCCTTCAGGGGAATGTTTTTCTGGAGTCTCAGACTCCAGTACTGGTGCTCTCTCTCTTCTGTCAAATCGGTCCTGGGGATCAAGGAATCCACCCTCAAGTCTTGGTGCTAACATTGATGGGATACACACCATTCAACCTTCTGATTCCCATGGTGCACCTACCAATCACTTCTCAAGCCCTTCATTGCGGTTTAAAGGAAATGAAGCTAGCAGCAGTTCACATGAGATGCCTTCTGATTTGGGTTTGGGTCAAATTTCACAGGCTGCTGACGATCAGTACTGTGGTGAGCTAGGGATAGGTCAGCAGAGTGGACGACAAAACATGGAACTGGACCACTCTAACGGTTATCATCCTTCTGTTCAGAATGTGCACTGGACTCTTTGAGTAGCTAGTATGATCGCGGTTGTAAGAGAACATGTTGATGAAGTAGTTTGATGTTTGTGAGGCTGTCTGTTGACGAACGACCACTAATATTATGCAGCTTATGTGCATGCATTCTTGTTGGGCTAGTCCCAAGATGACCTTTGTTTTGTTCTTGAACTGTTTGATAACTTGCTACCATTTGCTTTGGCGTATCTTTTTAACGTGCTTATTCTGTTTTCTTCGTTTTATCACTCTTGGTATATGATATTTAGGTGAAAAGTCAATCTTCCCAGCTCAAAATCACAGGACAGGACAATATTCTACCTGTTGGAGTATGAACCTGTAGCGACAAAGATGCTTCATTATGATGTTCATTTTTGTCTGATTTTTCCTTTCTGCACTCGTTTTATATTTTCCATTTGGGCTCTAAAATACATAAATCTCTAGCCTCTTCATCCAGCGATCTTCTCGTACGTACGTGCTATAGAGCCTCTATCTCCAAGAAATGCTAATTGGGGTTATAGGGAGTTGCGCCGATAATTCATCCTTGAAGACTCCATAGTCTATGCAGAAGGCAGAAGCCACATTCTGATGAAAAGAATTCGTTTAAATTTGAAACATCTTCACCTTGTTTGTTGCTAACGTGCATGATTGAAATGCCATGTTTTAATTCTATGAGTTCAATTTTTAAGGTTCTTAGTGGAGGTGGGCGTTCGAGCAGTTCGGATTGGATATGAAAATTTTGGTTTCCGGATTAAAGAAACGACAATTCAAATCCAATCCAAATAATCTCGGATTGGATTGGATTTTTTATGTTCGGCTTCAGTCGGTTTGGATATTTTAGATTTACGATTTTAAGCCTATAAATTGAGTTGTTTCTTCTTCTTACAAAAATGAACATCCAAATGAAATATTCATGTTAAATTGCCTAAAAAGGTCCTCATTTTTCACCGCAACCATTCAAATAAAGTATTCAAGTAATGAAATTATTATCCAAGAAATACAACCGAGATATTCATAAGGCCGATAAGAATTAGCAATAGTAAAAAACCATATCCAAATTGAAAGTATTCTGATAGTAACTTAGTAATTAGTATTGAATATATGAGATAATGTCTAATGGGTAGGATATTAGACTTATTACGATTGGGAATAATGAACTAATGTCAATGGATAGCACTAAATATGAAGTATTAAATCTGACATCCAATCGAAATCCAAAAATTTTAAAGAATTAAACCCGAAATCCAATTCGTAATCCGAAAATCCAAACCAAAAATTCAAAAAGTTTGAATTTTGGTTTGGATTTCGGGTTTGCCCAAACTATGCCCACCCCTAGTTCTTAGCATTGAGCATATTGTATTTTGAAATTTATAGGTTCATATCTATTATTTGTTATAATTTTAGTAAATATTTTCACATACATTTATACTCTACATTGAAAGTACTAGTTCAGATGAACCCGATATAACTATGCTGCACCCACCTCTATTTAGAAGTTAGGATTAGGAAGGCAATGGGGCGGTGCGGGTGCAGGGCAGACTTGATCTTACGCGGGGTGGGCTGGGGGCTGATGTTATGCGAGGCAATGCGGATTGAAAATGTTTTTCCAAAATCTGATGCAGGGCGGGGCGGTTGCGGGTTTCATTGCGGATTTCCCTGCTGGTTTACTCCAAGGAAATCACTGTAGACGCCTAGACGGTACAAAACTAATATCCAGTTTGACCAAGCTGCAAAAATCAGCTTATTTTGAGAAGTGCTTTTTCTCAAAAGTACTTTTAGTGAGAAGCAGTTTGTGTTTGGCTAATTAATTTGAAAAGCACTTCTGAGCAGCAATTATTGTTTGGCCAAGCTTTAAAAAATTGCTTCTAAGTGTATTTTTCTCAAAAGTGCTTTTCAGAAAAGTGCTTTTGGAGAGAAGCTACATTTTTCTGCTTCTCCAAAACTGCTTCAGCTTCTCCTCAAAAGCATTTTTTTCTTTTTAAAAGCTTGGTCAAACACCTAATTTTAGAAAAAAATCACTTTTAACCAAAAAAAAAAAAAATTGCCTCGAAAAAAGCTTGGCCAATCAGGCTATAAGGCAAGCAATAAGTGGCTAGAGAATATGACTATGCAATTATTACTCTTAAGTCTTAACTATACAAGACATTCACCTATATGTGCCAAGGACCTTGTCGAGGACACTACTGTTATATCATATTTCAATTAATGTATCAGCACACATATATGAGCTTACATATTATATATTTATAAACTAGTTATAAAAAAATTATGATGCATATTTGTTATACGGAAATTTATCAAGTATAAGTTAATACCTAAATCTAGGTATACGGTATGCTGATGTTATGCTTTTTCAATTCATTTATTTTCTAGTTTTTACGCATTTCAATTCATTTATTTTCTATTATAATTTCTGAAAATAGAAATATATTAATTGGATCTATACGAGGGATTTAAGAAACTGAAAAAAAATATTGAACTTGTGTTTTTTTAGCAAAAATAACAAAATGAAAAAAAAAATGCGGGGCAGAGCGGGGCGGGTTGAAAATAGAAAAAAATGCTATGCGGGGTGGGCAGGGCGGGTTGAAATTTTGCAGGTTAAGCTTCAACCCGCCCCGCCCCATTGCCATTCTTGGTTAGGACTATCCATCACAAGTAGGAATTAACTGTTATAAAACAATAAAAGAAGAAGAAGAGTAGTGCAAAGAAAAGTAGAGGGAGAGAATTCTTATTGATTTGGGATGAATTATAATAGAATAGAACCCTCTATTTATAGGGAGAGGGTGACTTAGCCACCAAGTAATGAACCCTAGAATCTCTCTAAATATAGACATTCACCAAAAATACAATTCTATTTATAACACTCCCCCTTGAATGTCTATTCAACAGATAATGTGCCTCGTTAAAACCTTAACTAAAATAAAACCCAACGGAAAAAAATTCTAGAAAAGGAAAAAGAGTACACATATCTAACAATACGCCTTTTGGTTGCCTCATTAAAAACCTTGCAAGGAAAATTCAGTGGGACAAAACCTTGTAAGGAAAAAAGAGTGCAACGCGCATTAACTCCCCCTGATGAGAGCATCAATTCACATCCTTAAACTTTCGCATTCCAATCTTGTGCACCATCTTCAAAAGATCTTTGGTAGAGATTTGAAGAACAAATCAGGCATATTAACTTGAATGAATATATTGCACCTTGAAATCATCATTCTTGATAGATATATAATGTCTTCATATAATGTCGTGGATTGGCTCTTCAATATCTCCATAGAGATTCTCGCTATCATATTATCATGCTTATAATTATAGCAAGATACATATATGCACAAATTGCACTGAGGATGTAGTACTTCAAGATCAAGAATTGTATATGCTTCAAGCAACTTAATCCTTCATGGATTGTCATATAAGTTAAGTCATATAAGCCATATAATAGACTTTAGATGCATATCAAGTTTTCATGTCATACTAGACATATAAGATATCGAAAACTGACTACACATATCATTGACTTTATACTTTCAAGTATTTGAACTGCAGGTCCAAAACAACATTTCTTTCATATGAAACCAATTCTACTTGAATTGCGTCTCTTCTATTTGGCCAATATTTTTGTGTCTGTATTCGACAAACTTAAAATTCTTATCTATACTTAGCGCTTTCATAGATGTCGTCGACAAACATTTTATATCAGTTTCAATATATTTTCATAATGACATAACATAGAGATCTCTTCATTCATATTTTCAGGTACCTGAATCTCTCATGAGATTTTATGAAGTGTTATGTCATGTGATCTTCTAGATCACTTGCCTCCTTTATTATGATCATTTTGAGCATTTGCTCATCTTCTTTATTAAGAAGTTTATTTGAAACCGATCTGTCTATACGCTTTAAGCGTACCATAGACTTTGTCCTTATAGGATTTAATATGAGCATTTGCAATGAGAATATAGTTACTTTCTTTGGGTCAGCAAATGCGTCTGGCATGCTTTGCAATATATTGCAAATGAATTATCTTTTTATGAACTTCAAGTTCATATTATTTTATTCGAGGATCTAGATGTAAAAATGATAATTCATTCCGCGTAACTTTTTCTCAACTGTTTATCATGTCTCCCCTTCATGTTAGAAAAACTAACTTGCTTCATCATCTTTGTGCGTTTGGTGTTAATCAAAATATACACCGCACATCAATAATAATAATAATAAGATGGAATTATTTGGTTCCTGACCCTGAACCACTCGTGAGGGGAGAATGTAATATACTTTCGTATATAATATATATCAAACTGATATAGATAACTTTGTTCTCATAAGCAATAGTTTAGCTATTAAGTGGAGACACTCAATAAATTATTTTGCTAAACCAACTGTGATGTAAACCAACTTATCAAGATGAACTATCTTGAATAAAAAATCTGGAAATTATGCTCTAAATCAAATTATTGAGCAAGTTACCTCGCAAACACCATGTTGCGGGTTAATAATAATCACACATGTAACCATCTTATAGATGCATCTATGTGGTATACATGGCAGGTGAATGGGCCCATATTCACCTTTGATATTTTCAGCATTCAGGGGATTCAATCCCAATTTTAGTTGATCTATTAATTAATGAGAACAAGCAATATAAGAGAATTCGTAAAAAACTTTCTAGTTCTTTAATATTTGCCCATGTGAATTCTCTATTATTTTTGTACATCATACTTAAATTGATATGGCTAAACCAATTATGCCAACGGAATAAATTATCAATATTGATAAACTTCAGATTTACGCCATGACGTGTGCAATTATCAATAAACTCCAAGTTTATTATGATATGGGTTTTTATATCAATAAATACCCACTTCATTGTGGTATTCTTTTGTTTATGTAGTACAAATTGGAGAATAAAGCGGGTAGCTTTTCACATATATATTACCCCGCTATAAGTTGTAGTAATAGAAGATATTAAATCTTTCCTTTATTTATAGTCTCAATATAATCAACCGTTTTCGCGTATACTTTGGAAACTGAATAAGTTTCTTTGAGACTTACTACAACACAATACCTTATTGGTAATTAATTGTGTTTCTCCAAAATAGTATAATTGGCTCTTGCAGAGTTCTCAATTAATTTTGTAGTACCACATATTCATCAACACCCATATGGTGAATATCTCTTTTAAAGAGAAAGTTATACCATTATGGTTATGGTCAAAATTATATGCAAGATCTGTTTCTTGCATTACC